GGATAATCTATAGACTTTTAGAGTTGGTAAAATAGCTACCTAGGTCGATTGAAAGCTTAGAAGGATGAGTGAGAAACCAATAGTTCGATAGTTAGTGCATCTTTAACAAAGCACAAGGCGTAAAGGCTTAAAGCCTAAAAACGTTCTTGATATTGTCTGTTCTTGGTGGTAACTCATTCTACGGGATCTTAGCATCCCAGAAATCGAAAAATTATGCTCGTGCGACGTCTATTTCCCCACTAAAATGTGATCGAAGTTCGTGCCACGCCCCTTTTTGAGCAGCGGCGGCGTGACGACGGGCGCGCGTCAGCCAATCGCAAGCAAAGGATGCGGCAGCGGAGGCGCCGCCAGCGCCTCAGCTGAATTTTGTGCTTTAGATTTTTCCGCTCAGAAAGGGTCGTGGCACGAACTTCGATCACATTTTTAGTAAAAAAAATAGACGTGGCACGAGCATAATTTTTTTTTTTTATTATTTCTGGGATGCTAAGGTCGCGTAAATGAGTTATCACCGAGAACAGACGATCCCAGAGACGTCGATTTCAGTAATGACGATAGTTATACAAAACATACTTATATTACAGCATGACATTAAAGATATATATTGTATGTTTATCATACAAAGCATCTGGAACAGCCCCCTTCCTCAAAATGTTGGTCCTCATCAATAAATGTTAAACAAAATATTGTGCTTCTTTTTTTTAGGAAATGTTGTTTTTAGGAGTTTTACTGAGAGTCGTGACCACGACTATTTAATCCCTCAAAAAAAGAAAAATTCTGGTGTGATGACAGCAGCACTGTGCACAGTCCAGTATAAAAGGCAGCAGCATATCTTCTTGCACAACCAAGCAGCAAAAGAAAAAGCAAAAAAGCACAGCAACTCAGGTGCAGTTCATCAACCTTTAATGAACCGATAATAAAAGTGCAGAACAAAATGAGTACAGGACAAAAATAAAGCCAACTCAAAAAAGCAGTGGCTGCCGGCCATCACATAGTAAGAGACTAGAAACGATCTGCAACAGCATAGGCAAAAAGTGGCAGCTGTCACATCAGGTCTTAGATGGCACATATTCTTGTGCAAGTTGGGTGCACTTAGTTCCAGGACGCATAATCCAGAACAGTTCCTTGGTGCTTGTGTGTTGTGCGACACATCAGAACTCAACCTTTGTACTTAACGATTGTTTGACACAATGTGTATGTATAAACAACACGAAACATCCAACTTATCTGCAATGAAAACTAGTCTGTACAGTCACAGCTCATGGTGTGTGTGCCTTTTGAATTCATAAAAGATAATTTGGCACAGCTTGATTTGATACAGAGTAGTTCTACACCTGTTTTTATCAGGCAAAATCATCTAAGACCCGCAGCATTCAAGTGAGAAGAAGCAGAAAAATAATTAAAAAAGTGGAAAAAAGGTGGGATTTTCAGCCAAGTGAAGAAAGATGTCATATGTTATCCTTCAGCTTCTTTTTTGTTGGAATCCAAGTCACAAAGTTATAAGTTAAAAAAGTATGTTAGACTTTCCACCACCTTGTTACATTACAAATGTACAATTTTTGGATACTGATATGGTACAGATCAAGCATTGACTGGATGTGCAGAACAGCCAAGTAGTAAGCAAAAGTGAACACTTGCTTGAATACACACCTTGCAGGCCTATATCCCCATGCCTCATATCTGTTTGTCCCATTGCATAGCAGTCAAATTTAACACAGATAACAGCTCAACATATCACATGCACACTTCACACATAAAAATGCACAATTCATTAGTATGTATTTCACAACTTGTGCCTTAACAGAACACCAAACAATATTTCTGCACTAGGCATCTTCGATCGAAGGTGGGATATGGTGTAGTTGATTGTGTAAACCATTAACTCCTCTATGAAACTAGGTGTTTAATGGATTTTGAGTTCGAATATCTTGGCTGAATATTTTTGAATCAAATAATTAGTAGTTTCTCTAAGCCTTTGACTACTGCACCATGCTTAATTAAACAAAAACCCAGCCGAACTTGTCAAGGTTGTTCCCAAGCTCTTGTCCATTTCTAAGCTTATTTTAAGCCAACTATATTTATGAACTTTGACCTCAGAAATTACAATGCATACATTGGCATGGCAAGTAAATAATACAAGTGATGTAAAATTAAACCTATAGAGATCCCTGGTTATATCTAATCGAGGTGATGTATACATCTTGTTGCTATATGAAAATATCCTTTCTTAGATCTCAAATTTGAAAAAAAAAATACAATTGTGAATAATGAACACAGGTTGTCAGGGCATCTATGCCTAACATGTACTTGTACATATTAGCCACAGTTTAATTTCGAAAATTTCTCTGTGGTCTAGATTCACAGTCTCCATTTCTTTTTAAATACACCAGATGTGTGCGTGCACCATCTCGCTTTGAAAGTGTTTTTTTCTCCTAAGCACGTGAGTGCAATATTTGTACTTTTCAAAGTGTTTATTGTGGTGGGTTAGCCCCATTGCACGTGCTTCTTACCGAGCACAAGTGCACTGTTCAGAAGCAACACTTGCGGAAGCGAGCTCCGCGGGCGTTGCCTCTCCACAATGCTACGGCGCTTGGCAAGAAGCGCATTTAAAGGGGCTAACCGACCGCAATCAACACTTTGAAAAATATGAATATTGCAGTTCCATCTCGAAGCGAATATTGAATGGCGTATGATCCGAAACTACTATTCTGAAATTTGAATATTCGCACAACTCTACTAGACAGTCAGCTTAGCTCCAAACAATTTTGTACCGAGAAAAGTAATGAGACATATGCCTGTCAAGAAGGAGCTTTTAAGAAAATGAATAACTGTAACAGGTTTCTTTGAGCGCCGAGTCTAATTCTAATCAAATTTGGAAACGCAGCATTTTTGGCAATGCAATGTATATTAAATAAGCATCAATAACGAGGTGGCAGAGTACATAAACACACAGTATCCTTTTTTTGTTTTTTCTTGTGTCTTGCTATTTAATCACTGCATCGGGACCACTCCCAGTGACATTACCTTCAAAAATGTGCTTACGAAAGTAGGGGGAAGATTTGTACATACAGCCTGTAGACTGGATTGTCTTAAAATTAACTTTGCAACTCATTAATCAAAAAGTTCAGAAATCTATATTTTTTCTTTTTCATCAATGTTTGCTCCTACATAGCGTTCAAACCATATTCTCGGGTGCAACCCATCACAGAGATTCATTTGCACATGCTTTACTATCATTATGCCCTTCAACTAATTTTCCCCAAAAAATATCTTAAAAGAGTGGGCACACACGGAGTGCAACTAAAGGTGATCATCACAGCAGCTTGTATGGGAGATATACATGCATACGTTATATGAGCAATGCATATTTGATATAAATTTAAAGTCAAGGTTTCAAGCTCAGTGCTAAATTCTACGGAAGTAAAAATTTTAATTAAAGTGACATGATTTGCATATCTCATCTTCAGACTAATGTTATGCATAGAGGATTTCTAACTGTGACATTCTCAAGTATGGATCTCAGAAACATAAATGACTAGAACTAATAGACTTGGAACTCTGTCTACCGCAAGTACTCTGTCTACCTCAAGTAGAGCATAAATCATCTCGTCGCAACCGCACTTGCAAAGTCGCAGTGATCAAAGAGGTGCATAATAAGACAGACTCCAATCAACTTTGAACACACTGATAACGATATGATTCCCTACTCTATGCAAGAATACTATAATTAAGAATGGGTACAAGGTCCAGCAGAATGAAATGAAAATATGGCAAGTACTTGGACACTAATTATGAGTGAAATTACTAATCCTATCAAGAAACTTCCAATTTTATAGGCAATGGCTGAAAGTAAGCCATACCAAACCCTATAATATGATTGCTTTCTCTAAAATGAACCAGTTCAAGCACTAAAGGATATTGAGATATAAACCATCATACTCATAGGCAACACATCAGAAAAATGTAATTCCCTAGCGATGTCACGGTATCATAATAAGGTTCAAGTAAGCGTTACTAAAGACAACAAAAGTAGTGTTGGTGGCATGACCCTTCAATAGTGGTTAGGAAATTATTAACAAAAAAAGAATTTGTTCCATAGTGCAATTCAGGAGCAAACCACCATTTGAGCTTAGGGTCTTACTTCTAACATACTATACTATGAAATCTAAATTGGGGTCAAACTGACCCTGACTGCTTATTCTACCTCTCTTAAGTTGCACCAAGAGTGCCATTACAAGAAGAAAAAGCTTCCCTTGAAAACTGTCAATACTGCATCTCTGTGAGTCTGGATATGCAAGATTTAATTTGCACAAAAACTGCTACTTTTATATGCCAGAACTCACAGTTCTGGCACAAGAAATTAAAACATTCAGGAGAAAAACTTTATTTAATGCATTTGCTCCTATTCTGTTAATAGGTCAGCCAAAATTCCTTGCATAAATTAAGGGGTTGTCTATGTTAATATGATGAATACACATTGGTGCACTGGAGTTAGAAGCAAGTGGAGCAAAACTGCTCACACTGCAGAACCCAAAGCTCCTTCCTTGGGTTTGATCCCCAGCCCTGAATCTCAATGCAGCAAATTTGAATTTGACTTGTCCCTTTCGTAACATGTGTTGCAGTGTTCCTGATGATTACATTCAACTCTTATGTCATGAACAACAGAAACTAATAGTTTAGCTTGGGTGACCAAGATCAGCAGATGGTCATGACATCAAACAAGCTGCGGCAGATAATTCTTTGTGGGATTTGTGCAATGTTGCAGAAACCAGACAAGCAGCCCTCACTCTTTGGCTATTGAATCAATCCGATAGAACTTGCCTAACATCTTGGTTTAGTAACTAACTGATGTTGTTGTGGTCTGGCAGCAATCTCACAATCACATGAGCTGGGCTTTACAACATTGTGGTGCGGTGCATCATCAAAAAATGTATGGGTTCATCTGTTGAATTTTAGTTTAAAAGGATGTGTTACAGCAAATGTGCTAAGTACACCCACACGTATAACAAGGATAGTTGTTTATTGAAGATGTTATGTGCCTATAACATTTGTGACAATAGTATGTATCCCAGTCCAAAATTATTTCTGTGCATGTGACATACATATATATATGAACAGTTTGTATGGCTGGAGGCATTTCAATAGGCAACAGCTTTTGCTAATGGCATGCCATCCGGCTAAAAGGTTTGTGACACAAAAGCCCAAGTGCCCCAGAGTTTTACCAAACTAACATATACATGTCTCCTCCTTATGGTAACTGTGGCTTCTGAAGTTTCCCACTTTTAGCAACAGGAGTTCTGTCAGGGATCTATTCAAAACCCTAGAGCAGTTGTTCTCAAATGGGGATCTGCAGTCCCTTTAGGGTCCCTGAAGCCCTAGCCCGTCAGTCAAGTCAAGCAACTAAACTTTATATTTTAATTCGTGCTGGCTGTATGAATGGCCAGCATGATGTAATGATGTCATGTGCAAGTCATGTAAAATGAGTGCGAGCCTTTTGGAAATGTCAGACATGAAAGTACAGGTTGTGTTCAGATGAGGAGTAGAAAAACAGTCAGGATTCTGGATACTGGACTATTGTGATTTTCACTATGAGGTAAGCTTTCACAAATACCTTAATGGTTGTCACAAAACAGACTGTTTTCTTTATAGATGCTTGAGTCACTCCTAACGGTTAGTAGTGTGACATTATTTGCGTGGTAAATGGTCAGTGTGGGTAGGGGTTGAAGACAGCTATGAAGGCTAAGCTAAATGATATCACTTCAACGAAACTTTCTGTAAAGTAAATAAAGCAAAAAAAGCATTATACAATCAAATATGTCACATTATACACATATAATTTACTTAAAACATGGCAAGAGAAAAATAATTCATTCCAAAGTTCTGATAAAGAGCACACTTGTAACACAGTACCACAAAACAAGACTGAAGGACAGTAATGGCCCTCATATCAGATCATCCCTGTGAACAAAAAGGCCCACATACAAGCTGTTCGCTTGAACCATACTGAGAGTAATGCTCGCAGTCGTAAAAAGCACACAAAAAAAGACACTTTCTCAAGGCATTGCATCAGAGCAACAGTCACACGTGCATTGGACCACAACAACAAACAGTTTGATACACATGCTTTCTTTGCACTGCTGTCATAGCACATGGCACACATCATGCACTCCCATTCTTTGCTTAAAGGGTGCAGTACCTCGGAACACAAACTGCAAGTACAACGATACCAATGTGCAGCTAAATTTCTGCAACATATCAGAAAAGGTTATTTATTGTGACTAGCATTTTATTGAGAATGACGAAATCTGACAATGGCTAGTTGTGCTGGAGGCACCATGTAAACAATATTTTTGTTACATGCTAAAGACCACAGGCGATCTGAATTAATCCACTTTCATTTGCTTGGAAATGTCGACAACCTTTGTTGTTTTACATTGGCACGTAAGCTTTGAACATTTCCTTGGCATGTTACATACTGAAACATGTTACATATTGTAACATGTTATAACTAGGGTTCCGCATTTTCGGTTTTTATTTTTTCAAAATTCGGCATACTTTTTTCAGTGTTTATTTTAAAATTCAATTTTCGGTTTTTTTCGGTGTATATTTCTTCCCAAAAAAGTTGACCGTTTTTTTTTTTCGGTGAATATGAAAGAAGCATGATCGGACACCGGATCAGAGGATCCTTGTAGCTGTGATATTTGTGATCACTCAAAGAATAACGGTACATGTACATACGTGGTATTCGCTACAACTTCCGTCTGGACACACCTCAAAATCGCAGAATTCGCGGGCATAATTTTCAGCGCGCTTTTCTTTCCTTCCCATTCTGACGATGTGACCGTCTGAGGTGATGACCGTACAATGACCAGTGGAATGGCAAAAATAAAATAAAATCCATTGTATTTATGTTTTTAACCACAGGGAAGTTTGAGAGAGGGTGTTAAGAAAGGTATTGACGGCTTTCCTCAATGAACTCTGAAGTGCATGAAGACCACATCCAAACTATTTTTTTTTTTTTTAGAACCGGGAACTTGACACATTAAGCCCGATCACAGAAAGGACACAGATCCCGCGAAAGCCAAATCAAGACCTCTTTTGTTGCACGTTGAACCTTGGAAGAGGGCGTCACACAATGTCGAACCTTGCAAAGCCCTCCGTCTCTCTCTCTCTCCCCCCCCTCCCCCACTGTACTTTTATCGGTTTAAACCGAAAACGCCGAACCTACAAACTGACCTTTTTCGGTTAAAACCGAATTACCGAAAATGGATTCGGCATACTTTTATCGGTTTTTTATTGGTTTAAACCGAAAACTCCCAACCCTAGTTATAACATTACAACATGTTACAATAATCTCATTCTATACATTCTAGTTTAAGAGAAACAAAGAAAAACCGTCAGTCAGAGTGTCCTGTCTTTCATCCATACCTCCCTGTCGAGAAATGCAAATAAAAAAACTAATAATTACAGAAAGAGCAAAAGAATAAAGAGCAGTAGGAACGAAGTTCCAAAGAATTCAAAGGACTGTCAAGCTCGAAAATCTGACCACCCCATCATATATTTTTGTCCTTTTGAACCTCCACCACAAAAGCCCAAAGCTATATGTAGTCGGCCTACATCGCTTACTATTTGGCACAAAAATAAAAGCGATCGAGTCTTTTTTCAGATATAGATTATCAAAGTATACAACTACCTTACCAAAAAGAGCAAAATAATAAAATACTCATGTTTTGCACTGTTTCAGAAACGATAAGGTATCTAACACCAGAAATTGTCGCAGCACAACACTGGCTGACAGTAAATGAAAGAAATGAGTGACAAAAGGTCCCAAAACTGTGCACAGACTTTTGCTTTTGTGCGTATGATAGCCATTCCTTTTCCAAACCAGGCTGCCCGTATATCACTGTTCCCTTCACTTACGAAGAGGACAAGTTCGAGTCACGAGCACATGCTACGTACCGAGGTACCGTTCCCTTTAAAACAGCAGCATGTTTCCAACAGTGGCACTTGCGGCAGCCCCTCCAGGCAGCAAACAAAGAGTTGGCATTTTGTATGAAGACAGAGACGTGAACAGGGGATGCCACATGACGGGAGCAGCCAGCTCGACGATAATGGCGAAAAGCGTGGATTCACATCGTGGCATGCCTCGGAAGCAGTAGTGAGTTTGGCTAGGCTTCGACGCGGGCAGCTCTACCTCTGGGAGATCCTGAGTCTGTGGATAAAGCTCTTGCTCTTTTGCTTACTTGACTCGGCTCGGTACTCGGAATCGTCCCCCTCGGCGTCCAGGGGGTCTCGTCGTGGAGAGCGCGAGAGGTGGGCCGTCACATAGCGGCCCGTGCCTCCGATGCTGCCAAGACTGTCCAGAGACCTGTCCTGCATACAGCGGACACATCCACACGCTTCAGAGACGGGCACTCTTTAACGACTGTGCGGTTAACCCTCCACTGCCATGTCAAGTAGTTGGAAGGGCACTTCATTAGACTTTTATCGTGTCTCCACTCTGCTTTGCTAACCAGGCACCCTCATCACTGCGTACGTGTGGCTCTCACTGGAGTTCAGTGTGGCCATTAGAATCTAGTCTTCCCAGCAGTCCATGCAAATCAAGTGTCCACATAGTTAGCATGATAATGCAGCTTGCATGATAATGCTGCTCTCGTCCCCTAGTTGATATCATGATATCCGGAAACATGGCAGCGCTTATAGACATTGAGAAGAGGGAGGAACAAGAAAACACAGTGCACTAACTTCAACTGTTTTAATCCTCAGGAATACACAACAATATATGCTACGTGCTATCGCATCACTCAAACAAATCCGTACCCCACTGCTGTTTGAAAAAACTGTGTGTCTTTATGTGCCAGATCAGTAGTAAAGCCACGCTGACACATTCATTGCCATAACTTTTGATTTAGTTTGCCTGTATAGCTATTATTACCATGTCATCTTAATGCCTGCTGATACAGTCGAAGCTCATTAATTCGACTCTGACGGTTCCTCGAAAATAGATCGAATTATCGAAGAGTCGAATTATCGAATATCGATCAAAAACGAGTAACGACGTACATCACAAGAAGCGGCGAAAAGCCAACCGTGACGACGGAGTTTTATTTCGAAAAAAACGCCGATATTTTCTGCTGCCGCCTTCCCGTCAGACGTTTCGCAAAAACAAATTTCCGCAAATCCTCAATGTGCGGCCACATCGTCCCGTCGGTGTCTTCAAACGTTGCGAAGTTCGCAAGTACATCGAGCGCAGCGGATGTTTCGGCAGGAGATGGGCGTGGCGGCGGCTCTTCGGCGTCACTCTCGCAGCTGTCGTCCTCCTGATCCTCGGAACGCTGAACCGATGCAATGATTTCGTCGTCAGTCAATTGACCGCACACAAGCACTCCATCATCTATCGCAACGTAATCATCAAAACTAACGTTTTCGGGTAGAGCGGACATTAGAGCACTGCACACTTCGTCAAAGTTTTCATCTTCAATTGTGGTTGCCGATGTTGTAGCCGATGCAGTTGCCGATGTAGTAGCCGATGTAGTAGCCGATGTAGACGTAGTAGCCGATGCAGTCGTCGAACTCGAGGTATTTCCATCACACGAGAAACCACAGTGACGAAAGAAGTTCGCGATGACCTGGCTTGGCATGTTCGTCCAAGCTTTAACAAGCATATGAATCGCCGCCAACACAGTGACTTCATAGCGCTTACCCTGGTCCAGACAAAGCAATATTCTTGCCATGAGATGCTTGCGGTACAAGCCTTTCAGGTGTTTGATTATTCCTTGATCCATTGGTTGCAAGAGTGAGGTGGTTGCGGGTGGAAGGAAAATCAGGCGGATCATAGACAGCTTCGGCATTTTTGTGTGCGCACTGCAGTTGTCCGCTACTAACAAGACCTTGCGCCCCTTGGACGTGAACTGGCGGTTCAATTTTTGGAGCCAATCTTGAAAGATCTTACGTGTCATCCACGCTTTTTTGTTGAAACGGTAGTCCGTTGGAAGCCGCGGGATGTTTCGAAAGCATTGTGGCGTCTTGAATTTCCCGATCACCAAAAGAGGCAGACATTACGCGTGCCTGTCATGTTGGCTGCCACGAGCACGGTCACCCGCTCTTTACTGCGTTTTCCCCCAGTGCAAGGATCCCCTTTGAACGTTATCGTTTTGTCGGGGAGAGCTTTGAAAAAAAACGCCGTTTTGTCGCAATTGAAGATGTCCTCGGGCGCATACTCCGCAATACGTGCAAGCTCCGACGTCTTCCAGTTTTCACACAAAGTTTCATCCACATCGGCTCTTTCACCACACACATGCTTAAAAAAAGAGTGCCTCTCCCTGAATCTTGCGAGCCATCCCTCGGAAGCACGGAATCCCCTGATGCCCAAACGTTCGCTGAACTGTTGAGCCTTTGCGCGAATCATGTCTCCAGTCATCAGAAGGTTGTGCGTTCTTACTTCCGTCACCCATTTGTAAACGGCTTCTTCGAGTTCTGGATGGGCTGCACTGCCAAGGCGTTTTCTTGAATTCACAAATTGCTCTTCTTCAAAAGCTTTCCCGATTGCTGCTTCATTCCTAATGTAGGTAGCAAGCGTGCTTTTCTTGAGGTCATACTTTTCGGCAATTTATTTTCTGGACAATTTTCCCTCCCTAATTTCGTTGAGTATGTGAACTTTTGTTTTTAAATCATTCGAAGAGTACTTGCCTCGCTTTTCTTTCGACATTTTCCGGTATGAGCGTTAAACGCCGCGCACTCCAAAGAACAGAAACCAGAAACCGCGTGACAGCACGGTCCCTCTTCACCGCTCGCTCATTTTTCTCCAGTCACCTTCTCCATCCTCCCGACGTTCTTTCTCACTTCATCGCTCACTCATTTCCCTCTCGTTGCTCCCGTCTCCTTCCGCGCGCCTCCCCACGTGATCGGGCCGGTGCGCTCTGACTGGGTCTTATCTCAACTAATCAAATCGGCCCTTTCTCCGGCGCGAAGCGCCGGCGAAAGGGCGCCTGTCTGCGCGGGCGCTCTTTCGCGGAGCGCACCCCGGCTCGAGGCGCCGGGGGTGCCGACGTGGCATTGCGCGTCTGTGGAGGTGTCGCAATCAGGCGCGGGTTCGCTGCAACGGCTGTTTGCCAATATGGGTAGGGACGCGTGTTGTGTTCTGAGGCGCCGTTTTAACCTTTAAACTTATAGTGTTAGCTTAAAAAATATTTCCCGGTTACGAAGATGCTGGCTCCCGGGACGAATTATCGGGTTGGGGATATTTATCAGATCGAAATACCGGGGTTTTCTGCCTATTGAAGCCTGCACATTTCTGAAGGATGCTAAACGGAAGGATCGAATTAACGCAATGATAGAAATAACGGGACTGTGCATGCAACAAACGGGCTCCTGCGCTTCTTCAGACAGCCTACTGGGGCTTTTTAGAGAGGGTCCATCAATTTGCAAATGTTTGCAAGTTCATCTGGTGCTGAAAAACGACCTTATAGTGTTGTGTGAATACTATTGCACCCATTTATAATAAAGTTGGTTATAACGAAATAGCGGCTATAGCAAAGCAATCACGATTTCCCATTCCCAGTTGCAAGTTTTTGATGTATTTGGGTCTCAGAGAAGGAAAGTGAGCGGCTCCTGCTGATATAGTGACCAACTTTGCTGCCGCGGCTGAGCAGCCACCCGGAACAAGCAACAGGCATGCTGCAAAGGCCGCTGGCGGCAGCCTCTGCATCGTCGTCTGCTCCCCACTCCTTATCAAGTAAGCGGCTTTTCCGCATCGCACGCAAAGGAACAGTCATGGCACGCCGATAGGGGCATGATTGGCGCAAGTGCGCCTGCATTTGGTTGTTGCATAGCCAGCACAGCCAGCATGGCAAGGAAACCGTGCAAAGAGGCAGACAAGTTTGCAGATGGTGAACGCTTTTGACTCCTTGCAGGCTGCAGCTCGTTTTGCAAACGCGGCTCAACTGAACAGTTGCTTCCTCTCTTAAATCTAGGCTCTTTATACCAACAAAACACGAACTTGAGCAAAAACTCGGTGCCGTGCGCGCTTCTTTGTTTTCTTCATGTTCCGTGTGGTCACTCTCTGCACGAAAGTCTAGCTTCACTCAAGCACCAATTCGAAGTGCCGGCACCGCCGGCACCTTGACAGTGATGACGAAGGCAATCTCCTTGAAACAAAAACGTCCCGCCACCCTCAATGAAGTGTGCATAAACGTAAAGAATGCCGTCCACCGCTGGCGTCCTCTGCGGCTTCAATCTAGCAGAGAGCGCAGCGTGCAGGGAAGCCTTAAAGGGGCACTGAAGTCATTTTTGAAAAAGGTCGCTTTTGATCTTATTGTTTAAAATCTGTTGGTTCCCACATATACCAAGCTTTATATTACAAAACCGCCTATTCATCTCAGGGCAATAGAAAAGCATGTGGACTCTTTTTTCTCGGGCCAGTTCTGGGTGGCCGCCCCGCATGGCAGCAAATTGTGCGGTCTTTTGCAACTTAGTAAACTTTCTGAAAACAATTTTTTTTTTAATTATCAAAAAATTTTTCTTGCTATATCTGCAGGAGCCGGTCAATTTCCTTTGCTAAACGTGGACACAAATACATTGAAAAAGAGCAAACGGGAATGGCAAATCGTGGTCGCGTCGCTATAGTCGCCATTTCGTTATAACCGACTTAGTCATAAACGGTCGCGACAGTACCAGCATGCAGTTATGTAATCCCAACCCGAGGTATCATACTGCGCAGACTAAGTTGCTCCTCTCTACAGCATGAAATCAGTGTTGCTATATCTTAAGGGTCGATGCTCATCCAGATCGAAACGGGCAGGGGTGGGAATTGAACCCAGGATACCAACCTCTCGAGGTCTAAGCATTCGCAATGTTTGATTTCGTTGGAATGGTTTGACAAATGTGTTGGTGGCACGCCACGTTTATGAGTTATTCAAACTATTTTGACCTTTACGAGTACCAGTCAGAACTAGGGTTGCCACCTGACCAGTTTATGACCGGCCCGGCTGTTTTTCTTATACAGCGGGCCAGTTGCCGGCCCATACCTAAAAACGGCCATATCTGGCCGGTTGGTTGGCCATCCTATCGTGATGAATTTTTTGGCACATTTTAAGCGACAATTCAGCAACTACGACAATAAATATTTGTCAACAAAAAAAATTTATACAAACACCGTAAGGACACATGAGTAGAGAAAGTATGCGGGCGACCGCACTCCCTGAGACGGAGGTAAAGTGAACTAGAGGGGGGTAGTGAGGTCAGAGCGCGCTGACGGCGGCCGCACTTCGTGTCGACGGCACGAGAGGGCGTCGCGAATGCATGGGCTGGATGAAGCGGGTGGCCAGGGCGGCTCGCATTGCTTTTGCTGCGCGACTGAAGACTCTTTGTTGAAG